CTTGTGTCCTGGAATCTCCTCCATGCTATTGAAACTGTACTGAGACAGTAAACCTTGTGGCAATGGCCTGTATTAATGTGTCTTCCTGGAACAGGAACTACCTGTGCAACCTCTGTATGATCCAAGTATCGCCTTATGCTACCAGTAGTGAAGCCGACCCGAGCCAAATGCAAAACTAGTGAAAACAAACACTCCTGCTTTGGGGGTTGTCTCGTTGTTGGCCCTCTTGTGCACCTGTTCATCAACAGCAAAGCAGCTGAAACTGACTAACAACCCCCTTTGCTACTTAGTTGATCAGATCAATACCACAGAAGTTTAACTGACTTGATGCTCTACTTTGATTAAAAAATGTTTATTTAATTTTTTTTTAGCAGTGTGGTTTCACTTCTGATTAGGTGAGCTTTTTGCAACAAAAAGAGTTATTTCACAATAAAACACAAGAAATAGAAGTATATCATATCTATAACATAATAGGGTATAACATACAATACTAAGTTATTTAGCAACAATTTGGATGAAAAATGTCTTCACTTGCTGTTTGAATGAGTCAGTGGAGTCTGTACAGTGGAAAGACAGCGAAAGAGAAATCCTCAATCTTGGTGGCACCGCTTGAAAAGCCCGATCCCCGACTGCGGGATCCTTAATATGACCATCACAGGCACAGCAGTTTCACCCACCTGTGGTTCAAACGTTCTGTTTATAAGGAGCAGACGAGAAATCCTGTAAACCTTGACTTTAGTTGAGTCAAAAATTCAAAGTATGGTGATGGAAATTAGCTTTAGGGACTACACTTAAAACTGCAGAAAGCCATGCAAAGCTAGGAGCTTACTTACATATATGCAGGGGTGGGGGGAAGACAGGACAAAAGGTGACATATCAGTTGAAATTAAGTCACTGATTTTGTGTTTTGATTCAATCGGTGGTAATATGATTGGTTGATTGATTGATTTAATCATCCAGTCATTGTTTTTTTTTATCTCGGTTCTGCCACATGTAGTCGTGCTGAACCAAATCCATTCGTATTCAGTATCTTTGTTCACAAGTCCAAAAACTCACAGAGTCACATTCCACAGCTGTGGCATCTGCTCCTGACAGTTTACCAGACACCTTGTGCAGCATCAAAGAAAAACATAAGGGCAACAAAGTTGTGGCATTGTATGTGGGATGCAGGTAAAAATTTTCACTTCAAGTTTTGATTGTACAGGAGAAATGTTTTCTATGTTATGTTAGGTTATCTAATCTGTTCCACATACAGCAAGTGGCTCAAGGGAATGAATGAAAGGTCAAAGAAAAGGTAGAAAAACTTAAAGACCGCTAAATGAAGACACTGCTTTTCGAGTTCTGCCTTTTTCATCACAGCAGGCTCTGCATGTTTTAATCGGCAGAATTTCGTGCCAAATGTCCTCCTGATGCAATCCCCACCTTAATCGGCTAAATGGGAATGTAAATTTGCAGGGGTGCAGTTCCAGGCCTGTGTATTAATAGCTAGCTGCACTCGATAAGATGTTTGTCATCTGCAGACCTGATACAATGCTGCTGTTAAGACCTTTCAAGACATTTTTTAAAAAGATGTAGAAATAATTGCTCTATAAAGTTTTACTCAACAGATATGTCTGCATTGCCGTTTATATTTTGAGACTTTATGGATTTGTAGTCTGAGGCCTCAAATTCTTTGTTAAGATTTTTTTTTTTTTTTCAGAATATACCAAAAATGAAGTGATCAAGCGTTGGAATGAGGCCTCTCTGTCTGGATTTCACACATGATTTTTGAACACTCACAAAGAAATAAAACCTTCCATGTATTTCTTGAGAAACAAGCCTTTCGGACAGATATGTGACTAAGAAATGGAGACAGTGTTCACAAGTTATGTGAAGTTACTAAGTTAGTTACTGTCACTGCTGCAATTGCACTTGACTGTTGCAGAGCAAGTCAGAGATGTTGAATTTCACTTTCATGTACTGCAGTAAAACACTCTATTTTCATGACATTATCAGGCTTCAGCAATCATGTCACTCTTCAGTAACAAGAGAGAAGAGCGGAGGAGTTGCAAGGAGCTGAAATCAAGGATGAAAGCAAATACGGGCTCATCGACTCAGTTTTTTTTCTATCGAATGAAAATGACAAAAAACATAAATATATACTCATTGAAATGGAAAAAGTGAGAAAGTGTTTTACGGGACAAACTTGGAGAACTCTTGGGGAAGCTCAAAATATGTAACTACAGTGACATTAAAGGCTGAAGATCGAAAAAAAAACAACAACACTAAAAACAAACAATGCTGCATGTGGACGATAAAGCGCACCCTTCATTCATTGTTCCGCATCGTTACACTGCAACTTGTCTTACAACCTCACAAAATCACACAGTGGCTGTGGTTTAGGAGGTAGAGATAATCACAGAGTTTTTGGTTCAATCCCAGGCATCTTCTTTCTGCAAGCCAAAGTATCCTTGGGTGTGTTCATTGGAGTGTGAATGACAGATAGAAAGCACTTAGACGTAGAAAAAAAGTTATTGTATGAATGGGCGAATAAGGTGTGGTGCAAAGTACATTGATTGCACAAGTAAAATAACTCTGTGTAACAACCAGTCCTTTTCCCATCCATTTAGGCAGTATTCGTCCAATAGGAGAGCCTCATGCAGGCTAACGTTGAATGAGAAAATGTGCTTTTTGCATAGATCTAGATATAAATAAAGACCATTTATATTTTTTATTTGAGGTTTTATCAAAGTCACCCACCCAAAGCAGGTGAAAGCCACAGTAAGCTAGTTTCTGCTAGTGCATTTGTAGTTTTTTTTCCATCAGGAACAATGATTTTTGCTTGTGTTTGAGCTTGATCTTTACCTCTGACAAAACACACACGCGCGCACACACAGACACACTTGCTCACACACAGGGGATGGTTCCTGAATGGGGCCGGAGGTCAGCAGCCGCATGCACGTGACAAGTCACAGTTAATTCCAGCATCACAAAGGATGCTCTGGACACCAGCAAACACACTCTCCAACAAACACTCACACACACCAGATTATCCCATCAGGACAGCTACAAAGGTCAAAAGCAAATGTTCAACTTTTGGTCCTTTAGCTCTTCTATTGTTAACACTTAGATGCTTACTTTATGCAAAACCATCAGTGCATTAATATGAGATTTATGGGGGTTAATGCATAACAGTAGACACCAAGGTTATTATAGTTAACTGAAGCTAAATTTAGATATGGAAAAAAAAAAAAAAACTAATTGAAACAATTTTGTGAACTTGCAAAACTAATTCAAATAAAGTAAAAATACAGTGTTTTGGTTTGATAAAAGTTTAATTAAAATACATAGACAAGTTTATCGACACTTTAGATGACTGCGAGTCAACTGCTTTCAGAACGTTCTGTGTCTTTATTGTAACACCTGTACTGATTTTCCTGAATCCCTTCTCCATAAAGTAATAATTAATTAGGACCTATTATTGTAGAGTTTGTACCTTACAAGAGAAACCGCCTTGCGGTGACTGTTGTTGTGATGTGGAGCTATATAAATAAAATTGAACTGAATTAAAACCAAGATTGAAATTAAACTGAATTAAAAGCAAAAACGGTGCAATTAAAATAAAAACTCATCAGAAATGATTGTTTCTAGTCCTCTAATGAAGGTATTGCCCATAAAATGTTTAACAGAGATATTTTTAATGAACTTTTATTTTGCTTAATATGAATAATTTGCATTAGAAATTCAAAACTGAATTGAAATGAGAATTTTGATTGATAGCAGGAGTAAGAGTTTCTATTTGTCTTAATTTGCTCCTTTATTCCGAGAAGGCTGCAAGTATAAATCATGGCATGCTTTTGATAATAACTCCACACACAAAAATGTGGAAATGTCATTGTTACACTGACGTTGTTACACTGACGTTGTTACACTGACGTTGTTCATGTCCACGAGTGCACTGTAAGGCTAAAATTGGGGCTTTTATGATCAAAATTGTCTCGACTTCGGCTGTTATTTATCAAACAGCTACTTTCATACAATCAGTCTGGTTTGCTCTCACTTCACTGGTCATCAGGTTTCCGTGTCCTCCAACTATATAAACATTAAAAACAGAAGTTTACAGTAGTCTCTGAGACCTATTTGATTATTGGCTGGTTTTCCTCAATGTGAATTTTATATTTCTGACATTTTGCCACTTCCTTTTGATTCTTGTGCACCAGTGTAATTCCCTATAAATATTACTGCCTTGTCATGTAAGAAAACACATAGTTAATCAAAGGGTTTAGTGAAACTAAAGCCATTGTCACTATGTTTGTATGGCTGTGTGTGTGTGTGTGTGTGTGTGTGTGTGTGTGTCTCAGTGCTCTTCAGGTCACTGTGTTTACTGATTAGTCTGCCATCCATCACTATCAACTCCTCTCCACCCCTTAAACAGAGGCATCAGTGATGGATCATCCTGATTTGTATCAATGGGCAAAACCTTATCAATAAGGTTAAACACACTAATGTGGGTCTAAAGTGAGAACAAATACGTGTGTGTGTGTGTGTGTGTGTGTATGTGTGTGTGGACCAGGCAGGACGATAGGTGGGGGTAGGAGTCATTTGTTCTGATGTAACAGAGTCAGTTTCATCACCCGAGGCATCGAGGATGAGGAGGAAAGAGAGAATGCACAGAAGGGAAAGGAAGTGACACGATGAGTCTAAAATGACTGTCTCTCTGTCTCTCTCATACACACACACACACACACACACTCACACACACACACACACACACACACCCTGGGTGTCAGCTTCCATCAGCAGCATGTATGACTGTGACTTATAACCACAGCTATGCGATCATTTACACTCAGTGCAGCAGATAGCCAGAAGCTACTGTCCCTCTGTACTAGTCTGCAGTGATTTAGTGTCTGAATTCACAACACTTGCTTGGATGTATTAGTGTATATGTTTTTACACGCCATATACATATACATATACATATACATATACATATAAATGAAACACTAATACATTAGGAGTCTTTCACAATGTTTTTTTTTAATTTTTATTTGATCTTTTACACAGTGGAGCGCAAGATTCAAGAACAAGAAGGTACAATAAAAAAAGAAGAGTTTGTGATTAAACCCACATTTAAACCATGTCAAAAATCAGCTTGTGAAGAAGTAACTTATGACTGGCACGATCACACTGAACACATACTTGTTTTATTTCTTGTCATGTCTCAGTTAAACTCAAAATGCAAAGGTCACTGAATCTGGAGTTGCTTAGAGAGCAGATCTGCTGTACCGGTTATCCAAACACTCTTTAATTGAATCAAGTGTGAAGCTCAGATGGAAAACCATAATTTGCCATCATTACAAAATATTAAGCAAGACTAATTTTGTGCAGTTGTGGTTAAAAAGAAAAACAAACGATTTGAAACGAAACGGCACCAGCTAGCTTAAAATAACCTCTAGATTTATTTTTAAAAATCGAATTCTGTGTCTAATATTTAATTCCACAATAATGAACAGACTGCTGGCACACAGACAAAAAAGGAAATGTCACAGTGCACTAATGTACACTTTTGATGGTTATGGCACAAGCTCAAATACAAAAACAGATCGGACACAAATGCTGAGAGTCCGGAGACAGTTTAATAAATGTTATAGAACGTAATGTAAACATGAAAATGAAAAAAGGAAATAAGTGAATGCAGAACAGGAAATCTAGCGAGGCCACCTCGAGAAACCACAGTGTGCCATCTGCATTATTTCCAAATTATTTGTCATCTAATTTTTTTCCCTCAGCACCTTCAGAGAGCTGTCTAGCTGAAGCCTTCTTTTCAGCTCAGGTCATTTCAGTTCAGCCTGATTCACTTTAATTCAGTTTTCTACACTAGGGAATGACTCACACTCCTGACAGAAGACTCCCATTTACTGTGTGCCTGCATGTGTGTGTCCGTGTAGGCTTGTGTGGGGTTTTTTTGGGAAACGTCAGCATCTTCTCCATCTCTCGTACTCGCCTGATGTTACACCGTCAGCATCACCTACAAGGAGACAGAGAAACAGGATTGTGGTGTGTTGTCAGCAACAAATCGGACTCCGGTCTGTGTAAAAATAATGCCTCGTTCTTCCTCGCTCTCTCTCGTCTAGCATCATCAGTGTGATGTAATATGAAGAAATCACAGCTCTGGAAATTCTGCTTTTGAGGAATTATGGAGATAAGCTTGTGTTTCTTACTGTTAAACAATAAAGATGACGTGTATTTGTAAAAAATAATAACAACATTTTTCTCATACTTAATGAATTCAAATACTATTAGACTGTGGTGGAGGTGCAGCAGAGGGGTGAGGCATCTTAGTCGAGTCAAGCCGCTGTTCTCACTCTCACACACACAGACACACACATACACACACACACACACACAAACACACACAAAATTCAATCATGTTTCTGCTGCTGCCTGGGGGAACTCACTGTGGAAACCTCACTATAGTGGAAAATCACCTTTTCCATGTTATTTTACACAGCAGCACCTACGCCACACACTCGCAGACACACACCTACACAGTCTGTCTGCATTTACACGAGGAACCCAAAAGATCAGATTTTTTTTTTTTTAACTCTTTGTGGCGCTGATCTCACACCGTCATGCCTGTCTCAGCCAGAAGTCAGCGAGGAATGAGATTTTTATTCAGCCATGAAGAAAAAAAACGTGCCTCAGAGAGTTAATGTCATCCTGTGACAATACAGGGTTTGTTGCTGTAAGCGTGCTTAGCTAAGGTTGCATCAACCTGATACGTGACCTTATCGTGAGTGGCCATGTTGAATCGCAGAATCCTGAATATACTTATATACAGACACTTTTCTCTATAACATTATTTGGCAATGAATGAGGAATAAAGAGCAGGGGGCAGTTAATTTTGTAGACTATCACAATAATACACAATATCAAAAAATCAGTCTTTTATTAATTACTGTGGTCAAATAATCAATACTTTTATTTTACATATAAATATATATTTATTATTAGTAGTAGTGCTGGTAGTGCTGATGTTGACTCTGACATGGGAACGTTATTTAGCTCAGAGAGTAGAACAAGAACAACAGTACAGTAACCAAAATTCCATCTAAGGCCTGAGTTACACAGGTGTAGGGATCAGTCAGAGACACGCTGACAACAACCAGTTGTCAATGTGAAAAATGTGCAATTCCCGACCAGCTGG